TGTAGTTTATTCTGAAATTCCGCGTTACTCCTTTAATGAATTTTCATTTCTTCCACTATTTATTCATATGTTTTTGTGTGTTTGTTTACGTTTTAGGTTTGCCTTTGCCGGCCAAGCTGGATCATGTGAAATATGTACAAGGCAGACCGGTACTCTATTGGACGGTGGAGAGTTTAGACCCGGTCACCAAGTATGAGCTAATGTACAGAAAAATGGATCCCGTAAGAACATCTTTTTACCTATTAAAAGTTTTATTTCATGACTTCTTTTCTCTGTTTCCTTTTTTTTGTTATTTCCTATGTACTTTTGCAGATCACAGACTGGACTGTTGTTGAACTACCTGCTTCTGAAGACATTGAAGGGAATGTGCATTCAGTGAAGTATGAATTAACAAATGTTGAGGCAGCTGAGTATGAGGCTGCACTGAAGTCGCGCAACCGTTTTGGATGGTCAGATATGTCAGATCGATATCCATTTAAAGCAGGTAAAAACAAAATTTGAAAAAGCTTTCATTGAAACTAAATGAATTTCCAAAAAATAATACTTTGTGCTGGTTTGACATTTTGTATTATCCAATGTCAAGTAATGTTGGAAGGCACCTGGTATAAATTTCATCAATAGGATTCACACTTTGAGAATGTCTTACTGCACCTCATAATGGTTTTGCCAATATAATACATATTTTTTTTGTTTGTGTTATGGAATAGAATCTTCTCAACGAGCAGAACTCTCAAGAATTAGAGGTACGTATTCAACCAGGAAAGGATTCTCATAATGAATGTGACTTTAATATTTTTCTTCATATTTATCATCATTATTATTATTATTATGATTATTACTATTATTATTAAGGAACCCTGTATTTTATCAAAGAAAAATTAGAGAAAATAGGTGTGTAATGTTAAGTTTGTTCTTGTATGTGAACATTGTCATCATCGTCAAAATAGTTTGAGACTTGTGTGGTGTTTTTCCTGCCTTTTGCACGAAGAATGGTTTGTGGCACGGTGTGAAATTTTGAGAAGGTGGTTATTGTGTGTTCTGTTTTTGTAGGAATCTGTGGTTTCATGCTTGATAATGCTTGGTAAACTTACTTTAAAAATAAGTTTCACCACTGATCAATATTTTTTTTAATCAAGGGCGAGCAAGGTTTTGTGGTTTGCTAGTGGCATGTACATTTTGCTTTTTCTATGGTGTATCTATGTTTCACTAAATCTAATGTGCAAATAAGAGTTTTGTAAATATATCTGTTTGCACTCTTAGGGATTCAAACATTTCATGTATCATTTGTTTCTTACATCTTTTGCACTTTTCACGGTGGCCAAGCATTAATATCATGAGCCGGCATTTACAGTTCTGAGGGCATTCACACACTTAGCTTGCATGAGATAAATGCTTTTTAGAAACTTCATAGTTGTAATAGTGGTAAACTATAACTTTCAGAAAATTTTTAGGACAAAAATTAATTCTTAAAAAATCTGACCCAAAATAACAGTGTGTTTAGCTGTGTTTTGTTTTGGTTCATGATCTGGCCCCCTTTCTAACATATTCAGGGATTTAATTCAAGTCTCTGATCTGCCACATAATGTACCATTCAGATGAGTGGGGCTTAATTAAGAAGTTATATCACTTTCAATTATATTTTCTCCCTTGTATAAGATTTTTAAAACCTATTTGGGAAATTTTGTGGCATATTTAAATGAGTAATATCGACCAAATCTTCAAAAGCAATAAATTTCTAAATCTTCAACCCAATTAAATATCAGTTTCTCATTGACCTCAAACTAAAATTCAAGTCTGTTCAAAATTTGTTAATTTTTCTTGTTTGTTTGTTGCAGAAGCGGGTAATGGAGCTCCCATCGATAGAATATCCTTTGGTCTTGTATTTGGTGCTGTCGCTGTGCTTCTTGCAAGGACCTAGACCAGTTTCTTTTTGTAAGGTAAGACATGCTTATCTTGATGTAAAAATATATTAAAAATTGGCAAAAGCATACATTTTTTGAAAAACATATTTACTTTGGCATAGGTTGGTGATCAGAAATGAAAGGAAAGGACCAAGGTGAAACGTGCGGAAGAAGTGGACTGACCCACTATGTATTGTCAAGAAACCTGAATGAAGAACTTTGTGCAATGGTATTTGAATGATGTGAGATAGATGTAAATCCAACATATTAGTCTTGAACTTCAATTGTGTGTGGATAGTGTAGATTACTTTTCTCATTTTCAAATACTTGGCGGCTCACCTTAGAGCTTTATTTGCCATGGTAGGACATTAGAAAAAAAGTAGGCAACACATATTTATGAATAGGAACACAGCTAATAACACACTCTCTACATGTTAGATTTCTCATGTTATGCTCTACACTAGAAATCTATTGTCATTCATACAGATCTGCATCATATCAATGCATTGTATCATCAACTGTCTTTGTTATTCTGTCATTCAATTTTCTGTAAGGCTGTGCTTTTTTTAGTAGTAACAGGTAACAAGGTTTATCATCATTCAATTGGTAATGGTAGTGTTGCCGACATAAAAAAGAAAGCAGCCATATGTCATTTGGCTGTTTATTTTATTTTGTCTATTGTAACTTCTTTTTAATCAGAGTGACTGCCACTTCTTCCTACACCCCTTTCACAGTGACTAATAGTCACACAACTACTTTTTCACTGCTTTCATAGAATTGTGAAATGGGGCTGTAAAAATGTGTTCATGGAGTAGAAGTGTATGATTCGATCTCAGTATGCTCAAGCATGCCAAGAGCTGTGAAATGTTTTTCAGAAAGATTCACTTTGGGTGGATGGTTCTTAAACATTCTACAATTGCTTGACCCATTGAGAGATGAAATGTCAGTACCACACTGTTTTGCCCACTATTTCTCACTGTGTGACGAATCATATTGAATCTAAAATCCATACACTAACATGTTGACTCATTATTTTTTTTTATTATTTGGCTACGGTCCCCCACAAGAATTACTTGTGCAAGTGAGAAGAGAACCAAAGTGTCACAGATTAATTTTTAGCTTTCTGTATTTTTTTAGTGCGAATGCTGAGAGCTGAAACCCAAACCCTCTGAAAATACAAATCTGTTTATTTTAATCCTATAAAATGCATTAAGTGCTGATTGCTCATTGTTTGAAAGAAAGTACCATTACTGTAAGTTGTTCAAGGTATCTGGTTTGCTTAGTTGCTTACATCAAAAAAAGTGCATGGGAAGAAAAACAAAATATGAAATAGTTATTTATCTTGATTGATCTGCTACCCTCTGATATGTACTTAATGGTTCAGTAGAACTGCTGCAGGGAGCAGTGCAAAGGTACCACTTTCGTATCATAGATGCAGCACTAAAATTCCTATTATCCTCTCTGTTTACTTAAAAAGGTTAAGAAGAATTTGATCGGCTGTTGAGAGTTTTAATTCATGCTCAATGTAATCAGCTCTTAATTTAATTTTAGTTTAATGAAAGTCTGGGCAACAGGTATACCAATCATTTTTTTATTATTATTATGATGTCCTATTGCAGCTTCTTCTCATGCATTTTGTTTTTTAGTTAGAAAATTATGTGTATGTTTGATTTGGTATAGTTTTAACAAACTTTATCATCCTGTGTGAGTTTGTTAATAACAAATTTGACAATCTAGAAATGATGTGAAGTGAAATTCAAGAAACGTTTCCTAATTTGGATTATAATCTGGCAACCAGTCATAACCAGCTTGTAACCAACTGCTCAGCAGTACAACGAAAACAAGTTGTTTTAAATGGGGCTATTCATGAATTCAAGAATAAATAAAAATAGATTAACATAGTGTGTTTTTTGTACATCCAAACACCGTACTTCAACTTTGATTGTTTGAATTTTATGAAATGTAAATTTGGTTATTAGTTTTAAGTTAAATTAGTCTGTCCAATAGCTTTAGATTGCAGCAAGTCATGATAGATAGGAAAATATATCAATTAAGGTAGTGTGGATAAACAACTGTACAAAATTTCCAACTTTCTGCACAAAAAAGTTCTGCCTTGCTAAAGGAATTCTACCTACTGTTTTGTTGTATGTCAGATTTTAAAAGAGAAGTTTGCCATCAATTTTTTGTTCATCAAAGTATCTAAAATTATAATGCTTTTTATCTATTTCTGCTTCAAAAAATTGTGCTGGTCTCAATGACATTCTATATTCCTGGTAGATTTTTAAATATCTATTCTAAATGTCTTGTAAATTATTCCTATTATGAAGCGTTATGCTATGCATGTGATTTTCTTAAAACCCGAAGCAACCATGTCATTTGTTGACACTGAAGCAAGAAATCATCTGTGCCATGATAAAATTATGACTAGCATTAAACATTACTTGGAAACCTGATTGAGAAATATAAGTAGGATGAACAATGACACTGCAGCTTCGGTTGTCCCTTCAAGTATGTGTTTTACATTAATCACAAACAGGAAATGAAATTAGAAAATTATTTTTATTTATTGCGTCATCGTTGCACCTTTAATACTTGTGTTTTCAGAGTGTATCACTGTATATAACTTGTAGGCCTATTATGGCTTCACATTTGAACTTACTTCATATTTCTGTATTTATTGTAAAATGGTTGATAAATATGACTTGAATGAATCCTTTGTACATACTGTCATAGGCAAATAATGTCTATTACTCTAATTAATCTAATTTGCATCAAGCATTCTGCCTTGTTATGTTTTTAGTTGTGTATTGATAAGTAGTCCTTTTCCCAGACTTTCCCTTTAGATCACATTTTTTGAAAAAATGTGTTTTGCATTATCCGTTTCAGTTATTATTTTTGTGTGTGTGTATGGGTCATGTCAACCCGATATGTGGTCACAGATCTGATGACATGCAAACAGTGACAGTCTAAATCACATTCCTTCTCCTTTGTAAAGTGCAGTGATGATGCAACATTTAATTCATCTTATATGAAGAAAAAATATGGAGAAAAATAAGCAATTGGAAAAGGACAAAAGTATCAACAAAGCATCAGCACAAACTCTTCAAGGAATTGTAAAGTGTAACATCAAAATAAGATATCTCAGGAACACTTTGATTTTGCTTCATAAAGCGCTATGGCATCTGTACTGAAGAACCTTTATGCAAATAAATGATATTGCTGATGTACATTATTGTAAACTGTCCGTTTTTTAAAATTCATTCCAAACCAATTGCAATCGCAATTGAAGTAAAGACCATAGTCTGCAGATATCCCCAGGTTGATCTAGTCTTTTTCTTTTGTTTGAGCCCTCCAATAAGTGGCGAAGCCTTGTGGTGCAAATCCACGGAATAATCCCAACAATTTCGAGCGGCTTAAAAAATAAAAATAAATTGGGAGTCTAGGATAACGGGCGAATGGGAGGGGGTGATAGCTAGCTACTCATGCGGAGCGCCTGGTGGGCAGGCCGTCCCGTCGGACGCGCGAGCCATGCGGGGTTGCCTTTGCCCGCTCCGCACGCGCTTCGGGTGAAGTTCGAAAAGCCCGATGCTTTAGCCCACTTCGTCCACTTCAGTGCCTTTTGGAGATGACTCGCCCTCTGCTGTTGCAGCCCGTTCATTCAAAAGTCTCCGGGCACGTTACCACTTCATTAAAAAAAAAAAAAAAGCAGCAGTCATTGCCACAAAAATTTATTTCATCACGGGATAGCGACGCTTGCTTTTGTCGCTCTATTTCAGTAGAGATAATTTTGGAATGTATCTTTGTCTGAATGACGCACGTCACGCAAACGAACATAATTACCCTTAGTGAGTCAACAACAAACTTTCTTCATCTTTTTCGATGAATCTCGCCACATTCAAACCGACTACTCCAGTCATTCGGGTGTCGTTTCTCTGGTCGATAGTTTTCTATTATACGTACATATCTCTGAAGGTGTAGTTCGGGAAGTATGCCCGTTTTCTTCAAATTTATTCATTAAATAACGGATTGTCGGCGCCTGCGAGACCCAGGGTAGGCCAGCCCGCTGTACACGCATGCACTGCAGGCAAGATGTTGCCTATCTATCAGGCGCTCTGAACTTGTAACCCTTTTAACCCTTCACGAGTCGTTCTGACTCGTACACTCCGGCCGGGCGAGGGTCGGTGCCTCTCAAGCTAAGTCGGGGCGGCCCAGCTACCTGCATAGGCCGCCCCGACTGCAGAGGTTCGGGACCCTAAGCGTGGAGCCCTCGTGCGCCCACGTCTCTGCCTCCGACCAGGGGGACGCGACGCACGCCTGAATCCGTCCGTCGCGCTGGCCTGCTGACTTTGGCAAGTTAATGTGGTAGAACCACTTCACGTACAGGAAAAGCACGACCACATATGAAGAGGTGGCACTACAACGAGGGTCCATGGTAAGCGGCGTCTCGATCAGACATCTGGATCACTTTCTTCCACACTTCCGTTTTGTGATACTTTTACTGAATTTTTGCGATAACTGGTGTTTTGCGATTCCCACGCTAATGGGCATGATAACTCCAAAAAATGTGATAAAAGTATCACATTTTTGTAATAAAATCATCACAAAAAATGTAATAAGATAATATTTGTGATGATTTTATCACAATAATGTGATACTTTTATCACATTTTTGGGGATTTTCATGCCCTTTATCGTGGGAATCGCAAAACACCAGTTATCGCATGGTTTTGTGTTAAAAGTATCGCAAAACCAGACTCAGTGTCCAAAGTGGAGCCAGCGCGAGCTTCGGCCAAGCCGCGTCGTCGGGTCGCGCTCGTGTCGATTTGGCTTTCGAAGAAATTGTCTTGGTGCTACCTCTTCATACATGGTGCAGCTTTTCCGGTACGTGAGGTGGTTCTCCCACATTAACTTGTCAAAGACTTGCAGATGTCTAGAGATCCAAAAGACGTCGACTCGATGAGACACTTGTGGCTGGGCCGCTCCAACGAAGGGTTTTTTGATGTGCGCGAATGGCGAGGTCAGATAAAGCCGGAAAACGACGTTTGAATGCGCGACAACGTGTGGACGATCTTAATTTATCATTGATCGATTTACAACGCGCGCGCGACGCGGAGGATGTCCCTATCGCGCACTGTCGCCCCACCCTTCGAACAAGATGGACATCACCGTCGTCATGGTGTTGATCTTTTCGGCGGCGCCCGGGGCACACTCCACCCTGCCCGACGTGGACATGACGGCGCCCCCCGAGGCCACGAGCGCCCTGGCCCTGCTGTCACCCTTCCTCGCCGCACAGACGAACACCCTGCTCATCCTCGGCCAGGTGAACTGGACAGGCGCTTTCCTCCGGGGTCTGTCCTCAGAGACCTCTTGGGTGCTGTTCCCCGACGAGAGGGCAGAGAATGACCGATACCTGGACAACTTCGGGGTGGGAAACAATTGCACCGCGCTCGTCGTGGCGGACGAACCCGCGGACCTATACGCTTGGATGGACAGAAAGTTCAGACTCATTAACGGATGCCGCTACCTGTTCTGGTCGACGACGAAGAAGGACAAGCAGTTGGCGCCTCCGAAGGTTCTCAGCATCACATTGTGCATCAAGCCAACAGGCCTCGCGGTCACCACGCGCAACGGCAGCACCACTCTGTTCAGTGTGGTGCGACAACATCGTGTTAAAGACCCACCGATATTACTGGAGGTGGACCGATGGTCACCATTAGACGGGAGATGGGAGCAAACAGGCGGATTGCTTAGGGTGTTCGGCCCTTTCTGCATCAGTTGGCGCCCACCGGCCGCGGGTGAGTCCCTGACAGTCTATGAGATAATAAAAGACGGAGAGACACCTCTGCCCGAATATTTCAAAACATTAAGAGCGAAAATTATGGATCTTCCCTGGACATTGAACACGAAGTCTACCCCCTTCTTCAATGATAATTATTTGTCGGGTATTATTTTGGAGTCATGGCAGAAGATAGATCACTGCCAGCTGTCCCTAATATTCGCTGAGGACTACGAATCAGTAATGGACTCAAGAAAGGTCAGCGTGATGGCGGAAAAGGGGACGTTTGAAATCTCCGCTTTCGTTCCGGCTGGTTTCGGCCCAGCCATCAACCCCCTTGACGCCGTCCTGGTGGAGTTCTCGCCGGCGGTGTGGCTGGGCACGGCGCTGGC